ACATATCGACTATGCCCAATACTTCTTTCTTATCTCAAAGCTTCGTGAGTATCCCTACTTATACTGTCTGCTTTATTAGATAGGCAATAACTTGCTAGAACTATCACCTCTCTAATAGCATGAGAAAGTATCTGGAGGGCCATAAATATTCATTAAACACACGCATGGATATAAAGCTGGTTGATAAAACAGTAAAATTCTATTACCTGGTTTAAAAAAAAATAATGAGATTCCATGTTTATAATGTCAACTGTTGTAACAATACCAACCTCGCTGAATATACAAGATAACTTACTGTTGTTTTCTGCATAAATCCTTATGACAGGCATCAGCTCAAAGAGCACTTTGGGTTTGGATTCAATGAGTCTCATGTTCCTCTTGTCCCAGCCAGCACCTTCAAGATAGAGGCCATAGACGTAGACACCCTCTGTGGGAGGGGCAGAAATATCATCCTTCATCCATTTGGTGACCTCATTACAAAGCACCATATTGTCCAGAGCCCAGCCTTTGTTGGCCCGAGTTATTTCCTATTCCAGGCAGCAAAGGAGGAAGAAAATAATTAGACTTTGTCTTAACAGAAAAAGCATAAAAATGATGAAACTTCAGCTGCAAATTACCCTAATCCAAAGGAAGTAGAATAGTATTTAAAGAATTAAGATGATTTTCTCATAAAAAAAAAAATACCCATGTCCTGGGCTGGGGTTGAGAGTCAGTGGTAGAGTGCTTGCCTAGCACATGTGAGGCACTGGGTTTGATCCTCAGCACCACATAAAAATAAAAATAAATAGAAGTATTGTGTTCATCTACAACTAAAATAAATATTTAAAAAATACCGGCCTAACTTAACCACTTATACTTCAAAATGGAAATATGAAATTATGACAAATGTGAAAATAACAAACAAATAAAAAATTCAAGTTTAACAGCCTGAAAATAAATGGCTGTGTTTATGTTCGTGGCAATGTAACTGCCAGGAACAGAAAAGAGATAGTCATTCTCTGTCTTATTATATTCTTTAAAGCAATAAGAAAGAAGTAAAGCTGGTAGAGGAAAATTACGACAACACAACAAGTGCAAATCAGAGATATTTATTACCTGTCGCATTGCTGTTAAAAATCCTTGGGGGTTGAAAAAGCCTGTCATCCAAAAACAATGGGGTCGACCATTGAAAACCCAGGAGGTAAACTGGCAGTTTCTTTCTAGAAGTTCAGTAAACCAGAAACCCAGCGTACTGGAAACCCATGAAGCCTAAAATGCATTAAAATAATTCATTAATATGTTTAATTCTGCTGTGTAAATGATTGGGCTCATAGGAAACCAAAGATAAAATACAAATTTCCCTTCTACAGTGACAATGTCCCTAAGTTATGCATTCCCCTCGGGTTCAGACATGGAAGGTTTTCAAGTTGCTTGTCCTTAACGATATTGATGACGTAAAGATATAACAGAACCAGCTAATCATTATGTGATTCACAGGACTAGCTGTTCAAGATGTCTGATGTCAATAGAATCAGCTTCCACATACCAATATCTGCTTCACCATTTATGCTATCAAGGAATCAAAACAATTTATGCATTAAATTTAGCAAGCTCTCAGCATTTTTTAGATTACTATTTCAATTAGATAGAGTAAAAAAATAGGATTTTTATTTATATAAATGTGTTCATGGCATATCAGGATAAATCATCCACACTTTATATTCTGTGGACAATAAACCATAGAAGGCTTCTTCTACTTATTTTTAATAAGGTAAACAACAGGTTTCCTTCTGGAGCTATTGTCCCTTTAGAATGCATTTACACTACCGCTCATTAAGGAGCAGAAATAGAAACTCAGTTGTTTTACTTTGTACTAAGTATTTGCATGTATTGCCTCTAGTTCTCCCTCAATTCACCTGGGAACTTGCACGATGACAGTTGGCATGAACCTACCCTTAATGCTGTCAGAAGCAGCACTGGTAGTATCTATAAACCATAGTTTATATAATTTGAACTGCAATATTTTACATATGAATAAATGCAGTAATCAACCAGGGTAGCTGTACCACTTGAATTTCAAACATATCAAGAATTAATTTGCCTGTATTTCAAGAACTACTGGGATTCTACTGACTGATAATAAGTTGTGAAGAATAAAAATTCTGAATAAATAGATCATAATTTATAAATTAAGTAACTCATTCTATCGTATCTTTATAGGTGTGTCATTACCTAAAAGAGATATGCAACATCTACCCTGAGGGCAGAGGGAGCCATTAGCAAAAGGGTGCCTCTTGGGAAGGATCCCTGTTTGGCTCCAGAGCCTGTGCTGGTGGAGTTGGGTGAGCTGGTTTAATGGAGAATGAACTTGTAATGGACAGTGACCTGGAAGGTCCTTCTTCTGTCATTGGCAATGAAAAGGGGAAACTGAGAACACTCTCTGTCCTTGGCAATGAATTTATGGAAAGTAAGGAGAAAGTAAAGGAATGTGCCAAAAAGATGATTCTGAGTTTCTAAGCATATGACTGGAGGAGTGGACGGTGGAATCAAGTAAGATGGAGGAAATAAGAAGTTCTAATTATTTCATGCTACCTGCAGAACCCGCTGCCTTGAAAATCTGCCAAAGTCCTGGGTAAGATAACTGAGATTTGGCACCAAAGTATTCTCAAAGAGACTAGCAGTTCTAATCCCATCTTGTCTCATCTCTGTTTTCCCTAATAACCTATAGGAGGCCAAGTCT